GTCAAGAACTCCATGATGACAAATGCAAAGGGCTTCAGCATTGCTTCATGAGTACTTATGGCAAATGGAAGGATCTTGCTAAGGAAGCCAAAAAGGCACTCCGTGGACCTCTGTCCAGCGAAGGCCTACAAGAGCTCCTGACCAAGATTCACTGTGCTTCAACAGAGGTAAAGCAAGCTTAAGAAGATTTACGCCTTTGCATTCCACCTGATGGAGAGACATATAGCAGAGTAGATACTTGTGATGCTGTCTCTAGAATGATCTGGGAACATGCATGGGATCATCTTAAAGAGAAACACAAAGAAGATTCTCATAAATAACGAGCACACTGGACTGAGACTGGCTCAGTGTTCTCATCTACAGCATCTCAGCCATCCAGTTCAAGCTATAAAGGTCCAAGGACTGCAAGCAGTTCAAGCATCAGATCAAAACGTTCAAGCCTGTCCTCTGCAAAGAAGCAAGAAGCCACTGCAGATCTAGCTGCGACACGAGCCACTTTGAAGGTCTTACAAGATATAGAATGTGAGAAACAAAATCTTGCAAACCTTGAAAGCAAGAATAGACAGAGAATCATGCTACAAGAAGCTGAAAATGCTGCTAGACAAAATGCATTAGCAGAGAAGTGCTGGCAGATTGAGCGCTTGGAGACAGTTAAGGAGATGAATGCTGCAAAGGCACATATGCAGGTCTATGAACAAGATGTAGGATCCGATGAAGAGTTGTTAGATTGGTTCCATGACTGCAAACCTATACAGGACGTTCAGGCACATATCGCAAGAAGTCTTCCAGAGCTTCATGTAGCACCACCGCAACATATGACACATAGTGTGCAACCTGCAGTGATGACACAAATCGCTACCAGAGGTGAACCTGCTACTAGCGCTCATAAGGGAGATAACATTATAGTACTTGCCGAAGCAATAGCAGAATCCATCAATGCAAGCCGGCTCCCTGTACCGGAGCCTTCTGTGTTCAGTGGGAATCCATTAAAGTATAAAGACTGGAAAATGTCCTTTCAAACACTGATAGGCAGGAAGAACATTACAGTAAATGAGAAAATCTACTACCTCCGTAAGTACGTCAGCGGACCTGCAAAGAAGGCTATAGAGAGTTATTTCCTGTTAGGCACAGAGACAGCTTACCATGCGGTGTTGGACATCTTGGAAGAAAGGTAAGGAAAGGAACTTCTTTCATGATTGCAAAGGCCTTTAGGGATAAGCTTACCTCATGGCCAAAAATAGGACCCAAAGACAGCTATGAACTAAGAGAGGCTGCCAAGGAGCAATGTCTCAGATTAAGAGTCTTGAAGTCCTGAATGATTGTGGTGAAAATCAAAGAATACTCACCAAGCTGACTGACTGGTTAATAACATGATGGAATAGAAGAGTCATTGAAATTGAGGAAGAAAGCATGGCATTCCCTAGTTTCAGCCAGTTTGTTGAGTTTGTCACAAAGGAAGCTGAGAGAGCTTGTAATCCGGTAACCTCACTTCATGCGCTAAAGTCTAGTGACAGTGAAAAGGTGGTGCCACCAAAGACCCGAAGCATTGGAGCAAAGGTACTGGCAAGCAGCTCTGAGGAGAACCCAGATGCTAAAAGGTGCATCTTTTGTGAGAGACCATCTCATGGCCTTCACACATGTAGAAGGTTTATGAACAAGTCAATTGCAGAATGAGTTAAATTTGTGCAAACGAGAAAGTTGTGTTTTGGATGTTTAGAATTAGGACACCTTTCAAAGAACTGTGGAAGGAGGAGTGTCTGTGACACATGTAAAAGGAGGCACCCAACATGTAAACTGCAGAGGATGCTCGCTTCTCTCAAGAAGATCGCTTCTTAGCAATTATGCAGGAAGGAAATCAGAAGCAAGGCAAACGGTCACTGTGAAATGCCTTTGGCATTTGAGGAGGGTAGGCCGAGTCTGCCAGACAGTAGAAGATGTGCAAACTATGGTCTAAGGTACTTTGCCTCCCAAGGACGTGGTCTTTTCAGCGAAGCCTCCATCAGCTTCATTGAAAGGTACTTTTATGTGGATGATGGTCTGGTAAATATCTCGACAGAGGCTGAAGCGGTGCACTTAGGTAATGAAGCAAGACAGCTCTGCAGCGTTGGCATGCTACGGGTCCGCAAGTTCATTTCCAATTGCCAGGAGGTACTTGCATCAATTCCCAATGAAGAGTGTATTGAGACAGTACAACATCGAGATTTAACTTTAGGTGAGCCACAAATTGAGAGAGCCCTAGGTGTCAAATGGTGTGTCACTTCAGATCAATTTCAATTCAGAGTGGTTGTAAGCGAACGCCCGCTCTCTAGAAGAGGCGTTTTGTTGACAGTAGCCTCTATCTACAACCCTCTCGGCTTTGTGGCACCTTTCATTCTACTTGGGAAGCAAATATTTTTAACAAACGTTCCAAGAGAAGACTGGATGGGATGAACCACTACATGATGATCTTCGGCCACAATGGGAATCCTGGCTCTTGGACTTAAAGAATCTATCTGATGTCAAGATTCAAGAGATTCAAGAGATTGCTTTATTTGTCACATGCACAGTTGTACAGGTACAACATGCAGTGTAATTAATTTTGTCCCGATCAACCCAACCATACATATACAAACATTACAGGGGTTAGAGAGGTCAGGTAGACAGGGGATATAGGAAAAACAGAGAAAACAGAAGTACATGAGGAGAGAAGAGGCGAATAAAAAAAACAGCGCCCAGACTGTACTCCAGTAGGGAGTATAATATAGCAACAGAAAAAACACCTCAGCAACATAAGCACGTGGTCACCACACCTTACAACATAAAAAAGTCGTGACTTGCAACAGGGGAGGGAAATGGGGAGGTGGAGGTAGTCCAGCATAGACAAACAGTCATCCGGTCCTGTGCCAAGTCCAGCGCCGGTCAACAGACCCGCCTGTTCACGCTGGGGGTATGAAGCGGCGAAGGCGTGGTATGGGGGGGAGGTTAGTCCTTGGGATTGGGGGAGAGGAATGCAAGAGAGTTTCACTGCCTTGTTCCTTAGGGGGAGTTGTTGAATTCAGCAGCGGCCTTGGCCAAGGCCAGTGCTGATTAGGGGGGAGCCAAAAGCAGATTGAATATGGTTATTTGGGTTTTCGGGCGAGAAGCTGTAATTTCGCAGCTCCTCTAATGTCCACACTAGTCTCCGCCATCCAAAATCCTTTGCAGAGCCGTGAGCTTCTCTGTGATGTTATCAAGTCTGCGGTCCATAGTCACAATGATGGTATCCAATTTACGATCAAAAGCCATAGTCTGAGTGCCAACAGCTCTGCCAACTCCGTCAATCATCCCGGCCAGCCTAGTGGGGCTTTGAGCGGCTGTCACCGTTTTCTTCAATTTACGATAAACCAGGGCGATGCCTATTCCAATCAGCATCAGACCTGTAATCATGGTTCCGAATAGGTAAATATCTTCGATGTCCTCCACGGACAGAGCCGCCAGACACACTACCCTCCACTTTTCCCATCCGTCCATCATGTAGGCAGCTGCGTGCGTCCCCGCAGGACAGTCAGGTTCCCCCAAACCCACGCTCTCTGCGAGAAGATGGTGTCAATTGCATTGAGAGACCAGTTGATCAAATCCATGATTTTCTTAGATGATTTTCTTAGATCCAACATTGTTACCTTCCAGCTAGTTTCAAAGAAGTCCAAAGATTCGAACTCCATCATTTCTCAGGTGCAAGTGTCATAGGGTATGGGGAATGTTACCTATGTGAGAGCAATCAACGCATCAGGGCAAATCTACCATTCTTTAGTCATGGGCAAGGCTAGAGTGGGTCCTATAAGAGTTACCACTATACCAAGACTTGAGCTGGCAGCTGCTGTTGTTGCTGTACTCACAAGTGATCTGCTCAGAAAAGAGTTGGAAATAGGTGCACAGGAATTCTTTTGGACAGACTCGAAGGTTGTCCTTGGAAATGTCAGCAATGATGCGAGGCGGTTTCACGTGTTTGTGGCAAACCACATACAGCGTATTAAAGAAAGTACATGTCCAAGTCAGTGGAGATTCGTAACTTCTGAAGACAATCCCGCTGACCATGCATCAAGGGACCTTAAGACTTCCAACTGGTTTACTGGTCCAGACTTTCTCTGGCGAGATGAACTTCCCAGTGGAGATATGAAGGTGGGAGATATTGCAGATGAAGACCCAGAAGTTTGCAAGACCTTTGCACAGAGGACTTTGACAACAGAAATTTCCCTGCTTGATCGCTTCCAGAAATTCTCCTGCGGACGAGATTAGTCAAAGCTATAGCCAGGCTTATACGGCGTGTAAAGGAGCTCAAAGGCTTGACATCAAAAAGCAATGAAGCCACAAGTCTTGAAGAGAGAAAGGAGGCTGAACTTACCATCATAAGCACTGTCCAAAGGGCAACCTTCTCTGAAGAAATTCAAGGTCTTCAATGCAGGAAGGAGGCAATTACCAAAGATAAGGCCAATAGGTTGTACAAGATGATACTGCCATGGAATAAATGGAGGCTGGCTAAGGTTACTGCAGTGTATCCTGATGAGGATGGACATGTGCGAAAGCTGCAATTGCTAGTCAGTGACACAGCACTAGACAAGCAAGGAATGCGACTCACTAAACCAGTCTATCTAGAGAGGCCTATTCATAAGACAGTAAGCCTGCTTGAAGCTGAATAAGCAGCTTTGCGTTCTACCTTTCCTAATGCCTGGTCTCAAAATGTCTCATTCTGGAATATTGCATTCATTAGGTTCATTATGGGAAATCACCAGTGATTTGGTGGGAGTGTAACTGCCATTAGGGTCAGTTATGTTGCTTTAAGTTTATTTAATTAATTTAAATATAAGAATAATTTAAACATAACTGAAATCCCAGCATTATTTGATTTAAATGAAGAATTTAGTAATTAACATAATTAAAGGCATATGTTAGTAAGGATCTTTCTAGCATTTCTATAGCGGAACTAATCTTGCGTTTGGGTTGAGGTCTGGTCAGTTTTGTTGGTAACATTTTCATTTTGCTCAGTTAAGCGCAGCACTTGTTATGCGGCTGAGAAAGTATTTAAAGTTATTGTGTCTATTCATGGAGATTTGAGTTATTGTATAAGCTGCAATCATAAGTTTTCTTTCTTTAACTCCTCTTGAATTAACGCGACCAACGAGGTACGAGATTTATGTCCATTTTGCAATGGCGTGAGCGAGCTGTACAGTATTTACGTTTGTTTGGTTATTTTTTAGGAAAATGCGTGTTTTTACTGATTCATTTTATGATTTATATGATTTATGTTATCTAGTTCTCACGGCATGCTCGACCGGATGGATATGAATAAATGCCCGTGTGTCGGTATTGAAGGAAGTTACACTGTGTACTCCTCCCTTTTTCTCTCTCTGTCTCTCTCTCTCTCGTTCGCTCGCTCGCTCGCTCTCTTCTCTATACACACACAGCTCCAGACCAGCGCTCACAGCATACATATTTATCTGATGACAGAGTTTCTGTGGAGGATTTACCATAGGGTCTAAACAACTCAGAAAACACAATCGCTGGTACAACACACTGGACTTCTAAGAACAAAACCTCCTCCTTAGAAAGGTAAGCGTTACCTTTTTTTCCAGAATGCCCAAATGCTTAAAATAAGAAGTTTGCACCCTTTCACACTGTCAAACAAGAGGATGTGCATGCAAGCTATTAATATTATTTATCCATCCATTTCTTGTAACCACTTATCCTATTCAGGGTTGTGGGGTTTCCAGAGCGTATGGGCAAGGGAGCAACCCCGGATGGGGCACCAACTTATTGCAGGGCACACTTACACACCATTCATTCATACACACACGCACTTCGGTAACTCCAATCAGTGGCGTTGTTAGGCCTATTTTAAGGGGGCTTTAGTCCCACTAAAATGTTTTTAGTCCTCCCCTCCCCAAAAAAAAAAGTGTGTATTTATTGGCTTAAGTCATGAATAGCTTTTTATATTATATATTAGTTGCCACCCCTAGACTCTGCCCCCATATCCATTCATCTCTACCTACACAGCTATTCAAACTTCTGCATGTTTTTGAATTGTGGGGGGAGTACCTGTAGGACACCCCAGGGCAACATGGAGAGAACATGCAAACACCACACACACAGAGTCATTGCAGCGACTTAGACCCTGGTCCCAGACATGTGAGGCAACAGTGCTACTGTGCCACTTAATATTATTTTACAATATCAAATTAATCATTCATATAGACTCAGAATGGAATTGTTAGTGCTAGAATCACCCAAAAATAATATAAAGTAACAGTAAAATTAGGGTAATAACTTGTGGTAATTCATTAGGTGCTCATGACCAGGAAAAATTAAGAATCTCTTATATTGACGTTCAACAGTAGTCCTGGTTTATTCTTATTCTTTATTCTTATGGTTTATTCTATTTGATTGATTGATTGATTGATGAAACCCTTTATTGCTGTTGCAGTACACCTTGTCACTAGTCACAAGTACCAGCGAAATATTGGCCATCAACCCGACCATACATATACAACACACGTAGGGGGTAGACAGGTCAGGAAGACAGGGGACTATAGGAAAACTCAGAGAAACAAGATTACGCGAGGAGAGTGGAGGTGAATAAAAAAAAACAGCCCCCAGACTGTACTCCAGTAGGGAGTACAATATAGGAACAGAGAAAAAAAACACCTCAGCAA